AAAATTGTTGATGATTTCATATTTTTATGTAATCAGCATTTTATTTTGTCATTTAGAGGATGATAACCCTAGTAACCAAAATGTTCCATATAATCTTCCTTCGACGTCGATGGAAGATCAAATGTATCATTATTTATTATATGGAAAATATTTGTTTTACAAACATGTAACAAAAGTGTTCCATCGAAGTATTACCCGAGCCTGCTTAGGGTCAAATCCTATGAAAAATCATCAAAAAAAAATTTTTTCGCAGGAAAATAATATTTGTTCTAAATTTGGCATTTGCCATATACTTCACAATTGCTCGAAGAAATCACTATTATAAGTTCTCTCTAAATTTGTATGGGGCTTTCAATTAATTATTTATCTTCCTCAGGTTTGTGTGCGAGTCTTGGGCGTTCATCAGTATGCGACTTCATTAAATTAAGTCCTTTTGTTCTTTTTCGTAGTGTTAGTGTACTTTAATTAAGTACACACTAATACTTTTACAAAAAATTACACAAATAAATGAAAAATACGAAATAACACGTAGAATTTACCACGTGTTTTATCCAAAAAAAGTAATCCATTTGTTTTCCATTTGTATTCCTTTGATGTATTACATTGATGTCTTATTGCATTGTCCATTTATCTTCCATTTTCATAGGACATCATCTTCCGATGGATAATACATGGATAATACATATGTATCATCCATGGAAGATTCTCATGGAATACATTGATCTACCTTTTGGTTACTAGGGAAATTGTGGATTTTATTATATAATACAAAACAATTATTTCTTTTGAAAATAATCCTTTATCTCTAAAATTCAAGTTGATCTTTTCACCCCTAAAATTTTACATACAGCAGATCTAATATCATATACACGAAATGCATAAAGAAATGGATGAACTACTGAATTGACATGGAGAATTATTACCGACACTGCAAAAATATTCTCATTTAATGCGGCTTTAGTGACAAAAGCACCTAGTATAAATTGAATTTGTACTGGAATCCACGTAATCATGAAGATTACCACAATTAGGCAAATGTTTAACGTCACTCCTTTTTCTCTCTTCAAAAGTTCTTCATTTTTCTTTTGAGCAATTTTTCCAGGATTTATGTTTGTGATTTGTCGGTGATTGTTGATCTAAATATTGAATTTAATTAAAAAAAATAAAGTACATTAAACACAATTAATTCTCACCTTAGTAAGGATAATTTTATAAATTTTGAAGTTGAAAATGCCTAAAATAACGACAGGAAGAACTACTAAAAATACAAATCGAAAGATTATGTAAAATTCAAAGATATTTCGTTTTGTAGATATAAAAGGAGCAATTTCAACAATGATTCCAATTATCCATATCAAACCAATTTCTTTACAGGCAGTTTTGGAAGAAATTGAATCTTTTGTAGCTGAATTCACATGCTAGAAAGTAAATAAAAAATGAACAAAACCTAATAAAGATGATAAAATAACAAGCCAGTTCATTACCAGAATTCTATATCGTTTAAATGAAATGAACAGCAAGCTAAAAATTGATATATTCCCAAATGTAGTCAGCAAGACTAATCGTATTGCAAACAACACAGCATGTGGACATTTATGATCGTTTAAAATCTAATGAAATTAATGAAATTAATGAAATTTTGTAAATCTCTTTTTATATTAATTTATTTAATTTTTAACGAACCTTAAAAAGGGAAAATGGAGCTCCAATCAAATCCATAATGAAATCTGCACTTACGAGAGATAAAATATAATAATTTGTTTGACATCTCAATTTTGGTTTTTTGATAAATGCTATAATTATTAGTAAATTCGAAGCGATTGATGTTGAAGATACCCGGGTGGACACAGCCAGTTAAAGTCCATTATTGGACAATCATTTAACAGTCTTTTAACTTGTCGAAATATATACGATATAGAGAACTATACGTTAACTAGACTTTAACTGGACATTCATGCTAATCAATCAAGTGTTCGAAACTCAAAAATAATTTTCCTTACTTTTTTGACCATATACTTCACAAGCGCTTACAGAAATCACTTATATAAGGTCCACCAAAATTTGTATGAAACTTTTAAGTAAATATAAATGTTTCACGCGCAAGTGTTCGAGACTCAATTTTTACTAGAGATTTTTGATAAGTGTTAGTGTACTTTAATTAATTAATTACACTAATACAATAATAAAATTTTACAAATGAAAAAAATATGGAGAAAAATACACGTGTTATTTATTTTATTTTGATTTTTTTGTAACTGGACATTAACTAGACATATTTGCAATTCCTATGTCCAGTTAAATGGAAAGCGCAAAATATGTCATTAGTCGTCCCTAAGTCTAGTTGCAAAGGCACGTCAATGGATACTTACTCGCCGTGAAAAGGCAAGTCAATGGCAAGCTTTTAACTAGTACTTTGTCCACTCGGGATATAATTGCCTCTAATACTAATAAAATTGTTGCTACCGAGAAACTAAGCTTTTGATGGTCTTCAATTAAAGTAATATAAGGTTTTGAATCGAAACTTTCGTTCATTGTGACAAAAATGACCAAAGATGTTCGAAGATAAATAAAATAATCTTAAAAAGGAATATGAAACTTTATTAGCTTGTAAAACTTAGTTCTAATGAATAACTGACTAATGCATATAGAAATGCGTTGTTCATATAGTCAAGGATTAGAAGTATCTAGGTCAGTGTTGCCCAAAACTGTCGTTGATTTTTTTTAAATAACACGCTGTTTCTGACTTAAAGTGTATCGTGACTCAAAAAGTTTGGACACCACTGATCTAGGTTGATTTCATCAAAATGATGATAAGAGTGTAGTTCAGCGGCGTATCCATGAATTCTTTGCCAGGCTCTTTAAAAAAAATCAAACAATTTTCTGCCCTGAATTTTCTCATACACCCATTTTTTTAAAAGTCTACGCCTTGGTCTGTATTAAAGGCAAATTGAATTATCTATCAAACTTAAAAGAGTCTCGAAGAACTAAAATTACATTTTTTTTAAAACTTTATTAAAACCATTAAAACAACAAAATCAAAAAAATTAAAAACATAAAAATTAATTTGCATTAGAACTTGACATATTAAAATTTAATGCCGAACCACGAAATTTCAATACTTTAAAGATCGCTTGTCGAATATCCTTCATACGATAAGCGTATAAAAATGGATGAATCGCTGAATTAGCTTGAGCGATAAAAATCACAAACGATAGCACAAATTGACTAATGCTGTCATCATCAAATGCCTTTATTGCTAAAACTATATGAAGTGGTATCCATGTAATCATGAATATTAAAATGATAAGTAATACGTTGATCGTTGCTCTAGCTTCTCTTCTCAAAAGCTTTTCAGTTTTGTTTTGATCATTTATCGTAAAGTAAAGTTCTTTAATCTTTCGTTCATTGTTTATCTGATTTAAAATAATTTTGTAAATTCTAAAATAATTGATTCCTAAAATGACTATTGGAACTATTATTAAGAATATCAATCGAATAATAATGTAAATTTGAAACCATAAATTTGAGTGTGAAACGAAATGTCCAACTCCGAAAATTATTCCGAAAATCCAACAAAAACTGATTTCCTTGATAGCAACTTTTGCAGAAATGTTCATGTTATTTGGTAAATTTTTTGACTGTAAAAAATTTTAAGAATTTGAAAAACAATATTGAATAAAAGTGTATACAACTTACCAAAGTCCTATAGCGCCTAACCGAGATGAGCACTAAACTTAAAATTGATATGTTGCCGATGCTAAATAAAAGTGCTCGACGAATATAGCACACTGAATTGTGTGCCAAATGAAAATTTCTAGAAAGCTGCAAAAATTCAATTTCATTAACCAATAATTAGATATAGCACTTAATGTTCTCTATTTCCTGAACAACCTCAACTAAGTTCCGAAAAAATCTTACCATGAACGCTTCAAATGGAATCCTGATCAAATCTAATATAAAGTCAGCAATGACTAATGAAATTACATAAAAATTTGTCTGACGCTTTAGCTTTGATTCACTTATGAAAGCAACGATTATAATAAAATTGCAAAAAAGTGCTATAAATCCTAACAGCAGTTCTAAAAAAATGAATATTATTTCAATAAAGAAGTGTAGTTCTCCATTATGATCAGAATCGGAATGATCATGTTCCATTCTTAAATGATAAGTTTTTATATCTCAAAATTTGAACTGCTCACTGAAGTTTAATTTGATATACTGAAAAAAATAATAATGAATTTTAATGATTTCATTTGTGGTTTTCTCATTTTCAAATAATTATTTGTCATGAGTTTTTTATTAAATTTAACTTCACTTATGATGTCCAGGGTGGGGGGGGGGGGGGGGGGGGGTCAGCAAGAAAAGAACAATAGAAATTTTTGGAAATCTATTGTTCTTTTTTGAAAAATGACCGTTAATTTCGGACGTCATAAGTGAACGGTCCCAAAGTTAATTCCCTTGTTTAGTCACAATATACACCCTCCATTTATGATATATCTTAGTCTTATTTTTGATTATTTTTTATTCTCATCAAGTTTTGAACTTGCATCAATTACACTTAAATCAAATAGGACATTGTTGTTTCTAAATAAGTTGAATACAGCAGATCTGATATCTCTCATTCGGTAAGTATACATAAAAGGATGAAAAATCACATTAGAATGAGCGATAAGAACAAATATAGCCAATACATTTTTACTAATAACAATTGTGTCATTAAAAGCAGCAATACCATAAATAATATGAACAGGCATCCATGTGATTATAAAAATTAACATTATTAAAGATATATTTGTTGTTGTTCTAAGTTCTCTTCACTTCTCTCTGTTTAAATCGTGTCTGGTTATTTTAACTCTTCGTTCAAAATTTATCTACATTTTTTTTAAGTACTTTAGCTTTCAATTTCAAATCAGAAATAATTATTTCTTACCTGTTTCAAGACAATTTGATGAATTTTAAAGTAATTGATTCCCAAAATGGACTTATAAACACCAAAACTGCATGCTTGATCCCATTCTTTAGATGATAAGAAAGGAATAAATCCAGTAAAACATCCAAGTATCGAACGAATTATGATTTCAATGATAACATTTTTTGTGGATGCTGCATCATTTCGTGGCTTATTAACGGACTGAAAAGTAAATATCTTTTGAAGAACAATTAAAATTACGTAAAATGTCAATTGAATTTACCAAAATATTAAATCGCCTTAAAGATATAAAAACCAAGCTTAAAATTGATATATTACAAAAACTAAGCAACAAAGTTGCTCGAGAAACACAAATTGCAGTATGTTTCAAAGACATGTCAATATAGGGCTGGAAATAAAGAATTTTAATAACTAGAAATATGTACTTACTTACAGATTATATGATTAAGAGACACCACACACTTACCATTAGAACTCCATACGGAATTCCAATCAATCCCACTAAAAAATCAGCCATGACTAATGTAATTATATAATAGTTTGTCTGTTTTCTTAATTTTGGGGTTTTTATAAATGCAATCAGCACCAAAAAGTTAAAGGTCACAGCTACAATTGCATAAATTATCTCAAAAAACACAAACATTATTCCTATAGCAAGATCAATATCACCAGTAAATCGCTGATTAGTGAAATTCTTATCCATAGTTATTTATTTTTTCTCAGAAGATCTCTAAGCACGGCAATGGGCCCACGTGCACCTCAACCAAGGAAGTAAGTGAGTATTTATTTTTTTTTAAATATTTTAAATCTTATATTTTTATTGCAATTACTAAAACTTCAGCTTGTGATCGTGTTTTTATTACTAAAATGATTTTTAATCAAAACTACAAAATATTCATTATTAATCTATGAAAAGTCATCTTTTATCTCCTTTTATCAAAATGATTCCGCTAAATTCTCAAACTCTGAATCATTGATGCTCATTCCATTCAAAAACTATTTCAGCTTTGTTAAAAATAAATTTTGAACAATTTACATGAAAACTCAAGTCTTTTGTGTCAATGCACAACTTACGGAACTGAATGATCGAGCTGATTCATTTTTGTTTAAATTTGAGCTTTTTTGGTTAATATTTAAAAGCTTATAAATAGCTTTTCTAATATCTTCCATTCGATATGCATACAAAAAAGGATTGATTGCGGATCCAAAATGTGAAAAATTTACGGCTAAAGCTATTAAATTTCTGTTAACAGTAAAATCCTTATCAAGAATACGAGCAATGTATGTAATATGCACTGGAATCCATGTAATCATGAAAACTATAAGAATTAATGAAAAGTTCCTTGTTATTTTCATTTCTCTGTTCAAAAGCTTTTCATTTTGTTGCTGATTGGTGATGTCATCAGAAGTAAGCTTAAGTTTACGTTCATTGTCCATCTGGATATTTTTATCAATGTAAGTTCTTTAATTTGATAAATTTTTAAAATTTCTCACCTGATTTAAAATTATTTTGCGAATTTTAAAGTAATTAAAAGTCAAAATAATTACAGGAATCACAACCATAACCACAAACCGAAACATTATAAACGATTTGGATAGAATTCGTCCTATTATACACTTTTCAATGCCTTCAAATGATTTAAATGGATCATAACTTAGAATGATTCCAAAAATCCAAATCAAAATTATATCCTTGATGACTGTTATTTTAGATAACGTATAGTTGAGTGGATGATTTGATGACTGTTGAAAAAAATTAATTTTCAAATTTTATTTTATTTCAATTAAACTTTTGATTTTACCAAAATCTTATAACGTCGAATGGATATGACAACCAGACTTAGTATTGAAATGTTATTAAAGCTCAATCGTAAGACCAAATTTAAAATGCACCATGAAACGCCATAAGGTACACCGAAAATAGGCTAAAATTTTTTTAAAATAAACATCAATTTTTATTATAAATTTTTTAAACTTGCCCTAATTATCCCGAATGGAATTATAAGCAGACCACTTAAGAAGTCAACAAAAACTAACGAAATAATGTAAATATTTGTTCTTCGTTTTAACTTTGGTTCTTTGACAAAAGCAAAAATAATAATTATATTTATAAGAATAGAAATTATCGAGATTATCGTTTCAAGTGATATAAAACTAATTTTCACTACTGGATTGAGCTTTTCGTCAGTTTGATTGAATACAAAGTTTTCTTCAATATCGTAATTTCCAGACATTCTTATGAAAGCTGAGATATTTAAAAAATAATAAATTTTAAGAAAGATATGAAATTTATAGATCGTTACTATTCAGCAAAAAATGGAGAACTAAGCATTAATTGCTCAAAAAATTAAATCACGAAAAATTCCAAAATGTTGATGATTTCATAATAAACTAATGTGAAGTACAGATGGAGCATAAAAAATTTATACAAGCTAGATAACAACCACAGCAAAAATTTTGAAGAAGTTTCTGATTTTTTAATGTTTAAATTCTCAATTTTAAAAAATATATAAATTAAGAGAGTTTGTTTATTGAGCGATTAAATTAATTAAAATTGTTTTAAATTATTAAATCTAATAAAAATACTTATTTTTGTGATCATCTTATTTTTGACTTGTTTCAAATGTGCTTAAGTCAATTTTAGAACTGCTGTCTTTAAATAATCTTAATACTGCTGATCTTATATCTCGCATTCTAAATGTATATACAAAAGGATGAAACATCACATTAGAATGAGCAGCACAAACACATATAGCCGCTATATTTCTTTTTATCGTGATTTCATCACTAAAAGCACCAATTGCATAAATAATGTGAACTGGTATCCATGTTATGATAAATATCAACATGATTAATGAAATATTCGCTGTTGTTCTGATCTCTCTTCTCATTAGCTTTTCAGTTGATCGTTGACCACCAATTTCATTTTTTATTTTTCGTTCAAATGTTATCTATATTCATCAATAAATTCAAATAAAGGCATTTATTTTTTTAAATCACAAATAATTTCTTACCTAATTCAAAACAATTTGATGGATTTTGAAATAATTGATTCCCAAAATAATTGTTGGAATTAACAACATGAAGATTATACCCCGAGCGGCACAAAGGCTCCATTTGCCTTCCATATGGAAGCTATACGGAGCCTCCATGTTCCACCCTCCATTTGAAAATCTTCCGAAAACCTTACTATCATGGAACTTTGACGGAGCCAAAGCTCCGAAAATCCTCCGTGGGACGTGCATTTATTAACACCAAATGGAAGTCATTTGAGAGGTTTTGATGGAGGATGGAGGATCCATTTGTGGTAGTCAAACGGAGGTTTAATGGAAGTATTTTTCAAAGGATTTTTGGTACGATTTTCCACGTGTTTTTCTATGTTTCGCAATTTTTATATCAAGATTTGTAGCTGTATTAGTGGACTTAATTAAAGTACACTAACACTATTGAAAAATTTACAACTTAATTTAATTAAGTCGCAACCACAGCAATTTCTAAGTCTCGATCACACGCGTGAGAAACATAAGAAATTATTAAAAATTTTCATACAAATTAAACGACCCCATATAATAGTGATTTCTGCATGCGCTTGTGAAGTATGTAATTTCATACAAAATCACAAAAAATTATCCTTTTTTGCTTTTTTAAAGCTTGAAATGAAGCAATATGATTCAGTAAAGCTTTTCGACAATATTTCAATCCATTACAGTAAGATCTGACCTCTGTCTTTTAAAAATTCAAAAGCACGAGTTTTTCGGTATTTGATTTAAGAAAAAGCGGAGTTCATATGGAATCCAAATGGAATCAATATGAAGGATGAAAAAATAACCCTCCATTTACTTCCCACATAGTGGAGGTGGCTTTCATATGGATTCCATATGGAGACCACCCTCCACCTTGTGCCGCTCGGGTACGAAATGTAATGTGAATTTTTGATCTATAAACACTTGCATTGCATGCATTTTCCCATCCATCAGATGATAAAAATGGTATGAATCCAGCAATAATTCCTAGAATCCAGCAAATGCATATTTCTCCAATAACATTTTTTGTCGTCGCTCTATCACGTTGTGGCTTTATTATGGACTAGAAAATTGTTAATTATTGAGATATAACTTAAGATATATAAGACATATTTAAATTACCAAAATGTTAAACCGTTTAACTGATATCGAAACTAAGCTCATTATTGATATATTACAAGAACTAAGCAGTAAGGTTGTCCTTGATACACAAATTGCAGTATTTTTTGTAGGGGTACCGATATATGGCTGTAAAAATCATCAGTTCTTTTTTTAGTTGCAACCCAAAAATATATTTTAAGCTTTTCAATCTTACCATGAGAACTCCAAATGGTATTCCTAGTAATCCCATTAAAAAGTCTGCCTTAGCTAGCGACACAATGTAGTAATTAGTTTGTCTTCTTAATTTTGGCTCCTTCACAAATGCAATAATTACTAACAAATTGCAAAATATAGCTATGATTCCGTAAATAATTTCAGAAGATACAAACACAACTTTTACAACAGGATGTAGCTCTCCCTCAAATCTTAAATCGTAAAAATTCTTTTCCATTTTAAAAAAATTTTAAGACTTGAATTTATAATGAAAAAATCAGTTTTAACATTTGCTTATTATCGTAGAGCCAGTAATGATCAACCTTTTTAACGCATTTTCTTTAGGAAACAATGCGCTTATTGGTCCACTTTGGCTGACTGGCTGGGTGCCACGAGTGTTCGGAACTTGAAGCAATTTACATTGCACTTACACTTGAAGCCGTTACATAATTTTTTTTCTTTTTTAATGTGATTATTAGAACACTACATTTGAACTACACCCTTGGTTGTCCAAAAAAAATTGAGAAACTCTGTCTAATTCAATGAGTAATTATTTAAAATTAATCATTGTTAAGTGATTCTTTTATTCAAATTTATTTAGATTTTTAAATGAATCATTAAATTATTAATACAAAATAATTTTTTTCAAAATTTTATTATTAAACTTTAATTTAATATTAAAATTGTAAATAAAAAAGATTTATAAAATTGAATATTTCCTAGCAGCACTACCATTTCAAGTCCACTCAAGTAAGTATAAGGTCATTAACACAATAATTGCACTTCATCAATTTACGTCAGATTTATATTTAATCCCGTTACGGGTGAGACCAATTTCAATGTTAATGAACGTTGACAATCCATTTTTTTCTTGAAAAACAAATCCCTTCCATTTTTCAACCAGGACTTCTCATTTATTTGCTCTTCCACTCAATGGTCGATGAGAAAAAATGAAAATGAATAAAGCAAAGAAATAAATTTATTGCTTATAGCAAGTAAAAAGGAACACGAATAATAAAAATGATTGTTGAACCCTTTTTGGGAAGCACGAAAAGTGGAAATGAAAATTTCAAAGAAGTACACACATCAAAGCGTCTTTAATGGATTTATTCAGACATTTTCTTGGTAAAAATATGAATTTTGAATATAAATAAAATTGTAATAACCATTAAAGTCATCGCTAGAATCAGCTATATCGAGAACTGCAGATACTTTTTCTAAGAATGCACAAAATATACACA